TTATAGTGTGATAAAACCACTGGATAGTATTTTCAAGGATTGGGTTTTATCTAAATATAATCTCTGCAGGTATAACCCTGATCGAGCCCTTTGTTACCTTTTTCTTCCTCTGAAAGTTCTTCTATTGGTTCCAGTATGTGCGATGAGAATGCCTGTTCTATTAATGAGGAAAAATAAGAACAGTACAAATAGGACAACAGGAAAGTAAAATTAGTTTACTTTCAAACAGACTTGAAAGATATAGTTCCACAGTATTTTAATCATGTCTAAAATAGCAAGACTTTACTGGGAAAAAAATATTGAGACAGTTGGTTAAAGCTGCTCACTTTTTCATAGTATCTTTTCTATGCATTTTCCACTAACTCCACTCTCAGGAAATTATATTTTTTAATAATTAAGTTAAAGTTTCTCACTCATCAACCTCGTGCCCGATATGATTCTTTTAATGCACAAGGACACAACTGCAAAAAATCTTCTTCACTTATCCCGATAAATATTTCCCTTATAAAATATTTTGATCAAGTGGCTAAATAGAAAATTATTGAAAATATTTTAATTCCCAAAGATAAACACAAAAAATCTCTGGGTCCCTGGGAATCCCACTTCTCAATAGCCCCACAGTCTTCAAGTGGTAATAGAAGATGTAAAGGGCAAGGACAGGTGGCTCTAGGTTCAGAGGGAGTGGCCACTGAGCTGCCTCCCCTTTCCCTCGTGAGAGCCCGTCAGTTCCTCATTTTTTTTTTTAGGTGAGGCGACCCTTGGTTGACCTCACAGATTGCAAGGACCACGTCAGCTGACAATCCCTTATTTTTTATGCCTACAGCACCTGGTCTTCCTAGGTGGTCTCCCATCCAAGTACTAACCAGGCCCGACCCTGCTTAGCTTCCGAGATCAGACAGGATCGGGCTTGTTCAGGGTAGCATGGCCGTAGACCGAAGACCAAGTTCTGTTTCCAGAGTCACCAGGGCAAGGCTGAAGACAGATGAAGATGAGCTTTTCCTAGTCCTACCCCAGGACAAGTGGCAGGGAAGATGAGGCCTTTGGGTGACTTCCTAGGGAAAGGCGACTGTGCAGACACAAGGAAACCCGAGGGCAGCATGGAAAATGCCAGACCCTAATCCTATCAACAAAAAGAAAGTTCCTTCACGGAGGTCAGATTAGGGCTAAAGGTCCAACCATGGCAGTCGGGCATTAGACAGGGAATGAAATGCAACCAGGAAGTCTGGCTTAGGAGGTGCACTCATCTTCAGCTTGGAGACTGTCACAGGGCACCTCCCCAGAGGGCTCTCTGCACCCACAGAGCAGAGGTCATTCGATTCTACCACCAGACCCCAGAGTAGGTCACAGGTAATAATGGCCAACAATTACTGAGTGCTCACCAAGTTGCCAGGCACAGATCTGTTTTGAAAGTATTAGCTCGAGTATAATACCTCTCTTATAGCTTGGCCAGCTACCTTGTTCAACCCATCTAACATTGGCTGTATGGGAGAAATGCATTTTAAACTACTTTCAAATTAACTTTTGGAACACAGTCTATTAGTAAGTAGGAGTGCACTTTAATTTTAAACAGGAACACGACCCCGCTAAGCATCTCAGACCATCCACATACTGCAACTGCTGCAAACCAAACGTGCTTTCAAATTTGTTTTTCAGCATCAAGATTTAAAGTGTACAAATAGACTATTTCAGTTTAAACTGCTGAAAATAGAAATTTTAGGAGGATAATTAATTTCATGTTTTTTAAGTCACATGGTTTATATTTGATTGTACTTCATGCAAAAGACAAAAATAAGGTTATGTGGGAAGTTCTATAAAATCTCGAAAAAATCATCATATTGCAAATTTATTATCATTCTATTATAAAGATAATCTGTGACTTATTTCTCTTGAGTCAGGATAAATTTTCAAAGTTCTGATTTTTCCTGCTGTGTTGTGTAAGACAGGGTCCTGGGGGAGGGGCAGAGACCTGAACCCAGGCTCCTACGATAGAGGCTGAGGAAGGGATGTTAATCAGACCCCAGCTTCCAAAAAAAGCAGACTGATGTCCTAGGAGGGGAAGGAAGGGCCTGTCATTCTTATGCTTTATAAGTCACAGGTCCAGATTCTGAAAGTCCCCATTTCTGTCTTGAGCTGAGATCTCCAGGGTGAGAGCTGAAACACTCGGAGGCTTGAGTCTTCACCTCAACTTGCTGGAAAAATCCTTCTGTCAGTCTTCTACCATTACCTCCAGAAGAAAAATACTCAGATCTCTACTCAACCCTTTCTCTCACTGGCTGACTTTGTTGGACTTCATCGTTCCTACCCTTGAAGCTAACATTTAGCCAGTGCCTGCTCTGCGGCTCCTGCTCCAAAGACCCTGACTCATTCGACCCTTATGACAGCCCACTGAAGTAGCCATTGCTATTCTCCCCATGTAGCAGATGAGGAAACCTAAGCTTATGGTTTCATGAGTCCACTGTGAATCCAGCTGTTGGCCACAAAGCCAGGATGCCTCCCTACTGACACTTGCTGGGTTTGTCTTCTGGATCTTCTAAACAGCACTGCCATCCGCCCGCAGCATCTGAGTTCATCACGTTCTGCCCCTTTCCTCATCCTTGTCCCCCAACACCTGCTTAGCCTTTCCTCCAATGCCGCTTAACAGCTGTTATGTCCACTCCCTCCAGTTTCATCGCCACACCTGATTCCTAGGTGAGGAATCTCACACAGACTATTACTAACATCCCAACTGGTCTCCCCAGCTCTGATTTTTTTTAACACACTCTGGTCAGGCTAAGCTTCCAAAGCCCAGCTCTCCAATCCAGCCTCACCCAGCCTCAGGACATTCAGCAGCTACACACTGACGCAGGAACAGCCCTGAACAGATATAGTCAACTCAATGGTTGCCATGAATAGTCTCAACCAAACTTATTTCCTTCAAATCTCTTCTGCATACTCTATGCTCAAACAAATAATTCATCCGCACCATTAATTCACATTTAGTGCTTTCCTCTTACCTTTTGCTTCTACTCTTTGCTTTGTCTTAGCTGAAGGGAGCAGCCCCGTCCCCCTTTCCTGGGACATCAGCTAATTGGTCACCTCAATCTAAGAATATTCTAAAGTGCCATCCCATCTCTAAAGCTCTTGGTAAGATCAGCTGAGGGCTCCACTGCAGCTTCCTCTGGGTTTAACATACCCTTCCCCTTCCACGCAATCCTGCTTCCATCGCAGGTGTTGTCTGAGGGCACTGCCCAATAAACCTCCCACTTGCAAATCTCCACCTGAGTTTGTCTTGCCGAGGGAACCCAACCTAAGATGATAAGTAATCACATTTTTTATGGTAAAGAAACTCATCAGTCTTTGAGATGGAACAAAAGGAAAGACAGAAAGGTAATCAGACTAATTAATGTTACGCAATACATGACTAACACTCCTTGCACCCCTTCGGCTGGAGACGTGGTTGTGGCTGTGGTTGGAGGAAGGTCAGTGAGCCCCAGCCAAGCCTCCTCCTTGCTCCCGTCCACTGAGATGCTCACAAATTAGTTTTGATCCCAATCCAAGGGCTGAAGGCCCTGTGCCAAGTCTGGCTGGCATTTAAAATGAGTATTTCAATTCCAGAAGATGCTAGCAGGAGGGCACTGCTGACTCATTTGGCCCTGGCCCAATCAGGGCAGGGCCACATGGAACACATTGCTTCAGAACCAACAGATTTGTCAGGACCCTTGAATTAACTTCAGAAAGGTTAACATATGTATTGTCTGTGTTCTTTATCAGGCACCAAAAATATAAAACAAAGAAAATGTGGTCCTTGTATAATGTCATACAGAAAGCTAACCATAACAAAGTAGAAAAAAAATAAAAAGAAGCCAAAACACACTGTCGACGTACTAAAGAGAAGTGGCTAGCATTGCTTTATAAAAATCAACCCTAAAATAGGAGGCAAAAGAGAAATTTTAGACCTGACATAAAATAGTATAAGTAGGGAATAATGCCAGAGAAAATTGTCTTGTATATTCAATATTAAAGTAAATTTATACAAGTCCTTCATTGTATCTCTGTTACTGGTTCAAAGAAAAAAAAAAACACTGCATGTTCTAAACACTTATAAATAATAACATCCAATATGTGGAGAATTTATGCCTTACGTATTGTGAACATATGCTCAAGGGAACTGATCCACTTGAAATGATCTTAGAAAAAAAGTAAGGAGCAATAAATACTTCATGAGTCATTCAGTAAGTAAAAAAAAAATAATTATAAAGGCTATCACATACGGACCACACTATTTATGAAGACAAAAAGTCTGATTCACTGATCATGGATTAAAGTCTACTTGAACATCTGAAAACAAATGTGCAATGAAGTAATCATTAGGTAAAACAGGAAAAAGATGATGCCCCTCTCATTTTAATTCATTCGTAACCTATAGCAGACCATAGAAAAAGAAAGTATTTAAAAACATACTACAAAAACTGTAAGCACCTTAGTTGTATAAAAGTAAACTAAGGCTACAAATATTTGCCCTGTCCACTGGAGGAGGTTAATAAGAATCAACCCAGTGGCCTGGTCCAGTGACTGAGTCCTGGTAGTGATTTCCTCTAGTGGTTCCTGCTTTTTTCCTTTGGTTTCTGTCACGTCTTTTCTAGATTTTCCCAACCAATCGCTGAAACTGTTTGCTTTTAAAAGGTGACTTGCTGCCACATTGAAAGTTATAAAAACAATCACATATGCCCTGCGGCATGTGCTGGTCGGCTGGCCTAGTAGAAAGTCACTCTCTTACCCAATACCTACTATACCTTCCACTGAAAATCATAAATAATCAAAGTACTACTCAAAGTTAAAAATCTCTACTTGTGAGTCCAGCAACACATACATTTTATACTTTATGACCTTGGTGGGTATATCCAGTTTACATAGGAAGACTAAAGTTTAATTAACTGTTTTGTATTCACTAAAATGTTTTGTGTTTTAAATAATTACCCCCACAGAAGAGCACTTTCAGTTAATAAGTTATTTAACTCAGGGTGGAAACTGCACATAAAACGCTGCAATTTTGCTGAAACTTACCATGTGCCATTGTTAGACTTGACTTAGCATCCAAAGTCTGTGGGGCTGGAACATTCACTGAAACAGCATTAAAAAAAAAATCTCACAGAGTTCCATAATTAAAGCATAAATATCTGAACATGATGATAGCTAAATACTTATTAAGTTAGTCAAGATATATTTAGACCATAAGTGACAAAAGTTTCAAATGACAAAGATAGTATCAATTAATCTAAAACAACTTTTTAATAATAGCTTTATTGAAATAGAATTTTTAAAATTTTAAAAATTCTATTTTAAAACATACAATTTTATGGGTTTTAGTATATTCACAGAATTGTATGAAGGGGAGAAGAGTTTGCCATCCCAAAATATGCCTTTTTGGGGTACTGATTATTTTATGCTGTTTAAGTCTAAGAAACAGAAAACCAGAAAGAAGCTCTGAAAACCCCAGTTGAAGTTACTGGGTTTAGAAAACTATAGCCCATGGGCTATACCAGCCCACTACCCGTTTTTATAAATAAAGTTTTATTGGAACACAATATAATTCCAGTATTGTGCCATGTATAAAGTATAAGCAATGATAATTAAGTGCCTTTTAACTTTTCCACCCTTCTCTGAAATATATTTTTTTATTTTATTTCATAAGATATAAGTCCTGCTTCTACTCTCTCCTCAGCCCTACTCCTGGCACTTAAACTACCCTTTCCTCTTTAGAACCCCTAACCCTTTTCAGCTTCCAAAAGCAACATCAAGAGTCCTGAAGAAACATTTGAGAAGACTGAGTGGTTAAAACCATTAGCATTTTCCAGACAATTGTGCCAGATTCCCCAACATGCTCATCAATGTTCTTTCATCATTACACAGTCTTGGGACTATCTGAGGTGTCACTTGGTGCCCAGCCTTAGTCCAGGCCTTTTCCCCCACCCCCAAGTATTCAGATCCCTGTTCACACGCACTTCCTGTCTCGCCCAGGATCACTTGCTCCCTTACTTCCTCCACCCTTACACTTTCTTGAATGGAAACAAAAATATCTCAACTATTTAACTATAATTAAGAAAACAATCTGTCTATTTCTAAATTGTACAGACTATGTTTGGAATATAGCCAAATCCTAACAGCTCTGGGAGACAGCTGTGTTGAGCTGCACTCAAGTGAGTGACAGAGAGAACATTAGTTCAAAGCCTGTGGCACTGAGAGTCTCAGTGATACCAAAATGTGGTAGCCACCACACAGTCACATCTTCACACAGTATATTACCTTGGGAAACCCAAAAGTACAAACTGGAGCAATGCCAAAGAATTCTTAGTCGTCCCTTTATTAGGTGAACTGCAAAGTAACAGGTATGGCCAACTAAAAATCACCACAAAGTCACATGGCTATTTACAATCTTAGGTTTTAGAACTAGGTCAAAGCTAGGAATCAAAATAGTTCATCATGTAATCTCTAAACACATTGATTTTCAAAGAAACGTCTCTAAAAATAATACGTAGAAGTTATGTATTGGTTTAGCACTTTACAAATATCTTTAGAACCCTGAGCTTATTATAGAAACTTACTAGGTATAGCTGGGGCAGTTGGCTTAGATTCAAAAGTTTGCCAGGTTAAAGAATTCCCTGAAATAACAAAAAATATATATATATTAATAACAAAAATCACAAGCTATGGGTTATCTTTTGCCAGCACTTATCCTAATCTTTTTTTCCCAGAAAACAGTAAACAAAATTTACCAACGTACAGCAACTCATCCAATAAAGATGTTTAACAGAAATCCATAAGAAGCTAACTTTTCTTAAAATTACTTTTCAGTCAAATATTAATGCCATCGACGTAAATATACAGGTATTCCTCACTATCCGATCTCTCACTATTCTAAGAGAAGTTATAGGGAACCACGGCCCTTCCCAAACCTTTTTCTCAAAATGAGAGAGAAACATGTGAGTAGGTTAATGTATCTCCCATGGCTCCTGAAACAGAGAGGAAACCCAGCTCATACCACCGTTGCCATCCCCAGTTAGTGTCTCGCAAATAGACAAAGATGCCTTAACAACCTGAGACATGCAGGGACTGAGACTGGGATCACTTATAAGGAGACCAGACAGAATGCAAGTTGAATGCTTTATTGTGAGACCCTGTACTTCAGGATGCCAGTCTCCCTTCTAGACTAGCTCTTGAATGACATAGGGAGATGGGTGGCTCTCACTGCCACAGTACGCTGGTTGTATATGCCCTCACTATGCTTAGAACAAACCTTTAACTCCAACCAACCGCAACTAAGAATAATACAGCAAGCCTCTATAGTATTTTATTTTCTCTTTTTTTTTCCTTCTTTAATTCCTCCCCTCCCCCACACTTCCACCCCTGCCCTATGGATGTTGCCATTTCCCTTTAAGAACTTGATCTCTGAAGGCGGGGCGTCTCCTCCCACGTGCTCGCGGAGTGCACCCGGGGCCTGGCACCCTCAGAGCCTGGTGCACCCGGGATATGGTCCGTGGCTCTACCTGGGGTGCGAACCCAGGACCTTCTGCGTGTAAAGCAGACGTGCTAACCACTACACTATGAAGCCACCCCGCCTCTATAGTATTTTAGAACAACTGAGTTTAATAACAGTAACAATAACTAATATTAATGAATGTTTAATAGGTGTACTTTCACAAGTTCTCTCATGAAACCCCTGTAACAAGCCTATGATGTAGTTGCTATTAATATTCCAACTTTAGAGCTGAGGAAACTGAGGCAGAGATTCACAAAGCTACAAAGTGCCAGAGATGGGAGTTGAGCTCAGTCTGTCTCTAGACTCTGTGCTTTTAATCATAACTTCACCTGCTGCACATGAGTCCAACGGTAAACGGGTACTAAGCATGTGTTATGTGCATAACAATATTCTGATAAAAAATATAGAGGACCACTGAATAATAGTTTAGGTATTTAAATTTCTTCAACTTCCACAGATCTCCCAAATTAAAATAACCAGAGGAATGCCATCTTAGCAACCACTGGGGCCCCACAATCATCTGATACCCAGCAATGGTTAGAGAGGCCCACCTTGCCTCCAGCACTGAGATCCTGGCCCACTTACCTTTGGGTTCAATGACACTGTTAAATGGTTTACTGGTAAACTCTTTAATCTGCAAAGAAAAACAGTCTTCTAGAGATACATGCTTGAAATTAGATAGAGACATACTAGATAATGGACAGATACTGGACCGAGGAAATTAACCTTTTTACTAAGTTCTCCAAAGACACAGGAAGACACATGGACTTACAGGACTTTAAGCTGCGTTTGGATTCAGCTGCTTCTCAAAGTTATTACCATCTTTTCTACCTTCAAATTTATTCTGAATTCTAATTGAATAAATCTGCTCTACAGTATTTTTAAATACCTTTTTTAAAAATGTATTTGATTGGATTTACTTCTACAGACAACCACAAGGAAAAAAAAAATTCCATCTTCTTTATCTCATCCAACTTACAAATGTTCTAAAATAAAACATATGTTCTTAGATAAACTGCACCACTTAAAGAAAAACAGTGCCAATGTGTACTCAAAAATACCTGTTGTCTTTGAGTGATAATCAGTTCATTCTGTTCCTGGAGCCTCTGCCCAAGCTCTTCTATCCTTTTCTTGTAGAAAACATTACTTGCATTTAGATCATCTATCATTGAGGTTCGAAGTTTCTCTATATGTGACAAGAGCTGGAAAAAAAAATTAAGAAAGATATCAGTCTACAAAGTGCACGTAAAATGTCTCCCGCAGTACATGCCCCGCTTTCTTTACTGGTCTTGCGTTATCTGTGCACTCCCTGGGCCAGAGGGCCCATCTGAATTATTTTTATATGTCCAGCAACTAGCACAATCTCTGGCCCTTAGTAGGTTCTCAATAAATATTTACTGAAAAAAGAGAGGGGGAGGGTAGAGAAAAAAAGAGAGGGAAGAGGAGAAGGAAGGAATGGCTAAAGGAAGGGAAAGAAAGGGGAGAGATGCAGAGGACGGAGAGATCCAAAGATTCATAGATAGATTCATCTTTAGAGACTTAATGTCAGGGAGGATCATATATTAGATGAAAAGAATTCAACAAGAATTGGTTTTCAATAATTTAGGGAACGATTCTTAAAGCGATGTAAGTAGTTGCTTAAAGGAGGCAGAGAGGGAGACTTGATAATTGGAGCTAAGGACATTCCAAACCGATGGCTTGCAAATGGAGACAGGAACGTGCAGATGAAATAAGGGGCAAGGAGTAACTGCGCCTGTGAGGAGTGCAAAGGGCGTCTACAGCAACATTTCCTAACTTGCTTGATTTTTTTAAAAAACAAATACTATGTGCTAGAGGCCATGTTAAGCACTCCTTATTGAATCCACGCCAGAACAGCTGAGATACGTGTTTCGACCTCATTGTACAGATAGGGAAGCTCAACTCTAGAGAGGTAAAGTAGCTGGCCCAAACTCAGAGAGCAGGAGGGGGAAGAGCCCAGACCTGAACTTTCATGTCTGCCTTCAAAGTCAATGCTCCCATATGCAGTCGAAGATATTAATAAATAATAATTACTTGCACACAGTCGAGTAGCCCCCAGGACTTTAAGAAATAAATCATCAAATCAAAAAAGTAGCAGCAGTGTACCTATCACAATGGCCAGAATCCAAACAACTGACCATACCAAATGCTGGCGAGGATGTGGAGCGGCTGGAACTCTCATACGGTACTGGTGGGAGTGCAAAATGGTACAGTCACTTTGGAAGACGGTTGGGCAGTTTCTTACTATACTAAATATGCTCTTACCATATGATCCAGCAATAGAGTTCCTTGGTATTACCCAAAGGAGTTGAAAACTTATGTTCACACAAAATAGCAGCTTTCTTCATAATTGCCAAAATTCGGAAGTAACCTAATGTCCTTCAGTAGACGAATGGATAAATAAACTGTGGTCTATCTGGACAATAGAATATTAGCACTAAAAAGAAGTGAGCTATCAAGCCATGAAAAGACTTGGAGGAACCTTAAATGCATATTACTAGGTGGAAGAAGCCAATCTGAAAAAGGCTACATCTCATAGAGCCCAACTATATGACATTTTGGAAAAGGAGAAAATATAGAAACATTAGAAAAATCAGGGGTTGGGGGAAGGGAGGGATGAACAAGCAGAACATTGAGGATTTTTAGGGCAGTAAAACTATTCTATATGTTACTGTAATGGTGGATACTTGTCATTATACATTTGTCTAAACTTACAGAATGTACAGCATCCAAGAGTGAATGCTAAAGCAAACTTTGTGCTTTGGATGATAATGATATGTCAATGTAAGTTCATCGATTTTAACAAATGTACCTTTCTGTTATGGGATGTTGACAGTAGGGGAGGCTGTGCTTATAGAGCATGGGGGCAGTGAGTATTTGAGAACTCCCTGTACTTTCTGCTCAGTTTTGCTGTGAACCTAAAGCCGCACTAAAAAATAGTCCAATTACATTAAAAAAAAATAATAATGACAAAAAAAGCTGATGCTCTCCATCAATACACTGCAGTTCCCCCCTCTGAAGTTCTCTGTGCTTATATAGGTTAGACAATCACTGGGTTGAACGAAGTTAAACAGGTTTCTTGAGTGAGGACTGAAAAGAACCTTTCATGTCCTAGTGGATGCTAAGACTCGCCCCCGGACAAGGAAGACATTGTTAAGAACTTTCCCTGTATTTTTACAGACCACTGGCAGAGTGCTCCCAACAGCAGTTTGGGAAACACTGAGCTGGAAAACAGAAGGAAAAGTCAGTAAAGATGTCCAGGGTTCCAGGTGGAAGTTTAAGATCAACAATATGTGGAGGCATTCTAGGCCCCAAGAAGAAAGAGGACATAGGAAAACTGAAGGATGGTATCATTGTAATATTGGAATTGAGAACTGATCAGAAAGTATAGAAAAGAGTTTATATAAGAAGAATGTGATCGTCTAAGTGAGGGATAGCCAGAAATTATTTCAAAAGTTTATAGCTCATGAGCCCATCTGTCATACCTTCTACCATTTCAAATTCTAGGCTTTTTCTTTCTATCAGTCCACATCACCCATCCTCCTTTCCTTTTATTACATGACCATTCTACAACCTCCCAAGCTCTAAAGAATCTTATGTTGCATCAAAAGGTATGCCCTAAAAATCCTCAATGTTCTGCTTATTCATCCCTCCCTTCCCCCAACCCCTGATTTTTCTAATGTTTCTATATTTTCTCCTTTTCCAAAAGCAATAAAAAGTTGGCAAACATAACTTCCCTTAAACAGAGAAATACAATATACGCATTGTAGTAGCAGTAGGCACCAATCATGTGGAATAATTAATAGTTAGGTCTCAGGCAGAGATTACTAAACCTGATTGAATTCACCTCTCTGTTAAGGTTTAAGAGAAATGAAGGAAGAAGAAGCTTCTTAACAAACAAAACCAACAGACAAGGGAGCAGCGTAGCCTAGTGGCTTCACAAAAACACCACACAATTCATGGGGTGAGGCGCCTCACTCAGAACCAGGAAGGCCTCTCCTTCCTCCTACACACACACAGTGGTCTTTCTCTCTATCAGACCTTGCAGGGCCAAGCGTGAAACTCTGCAACTTGCATTCTGTTCCAGCCAGAAGGCCACTGAAATTCCCACAACTGCCTAGAACACAAGGAGCTTTAAAAGAGCAAGGATTAAAAATCAGCCCCTATTAACAAGGAAGCCTGAATTCTGTCCCTAAATACCAATGCTATAAGATGCCTTGAAAAATAAGAGAAAATATTATCCAAGAGCAGTGGTTCAAACCATGGATCCAAAACAGAATTATCTAGGTTTTTTTCTTCCCCAAAATAATATGTCCCAGACTTACCTACTGAATGAGAATCTCAGGTTGTAGAGTTGCACATGTGTATTTCAGAAGAGGCTCAGGTTGTTCTGAAGTATAACCCTGATTAGGAATGATTACCTGAGAGCATCTCAAAGGAAAGCTAGAATGTTCTTACAGAAAAGCAACCATTCTCTGAGTTGTCCCTGCCTATTCTCCCCAGCTGGCTAAGTGCCTAATGCCTGACAGGTAAGCAAGGCAGTGAGGCAGACAAGCAGGGCCCTAAGGTTGAGGGCCTGGGTTCGAATACCATGCTCATACCAACAGACAGCTCTTTCAACCCTGCTCTTCTGATCCCTACAATTAGCATTTTTTCATCCACAAAAACATGATTGAATGATTCCCTTGTTGGACATCTAGCAACCTTCCACATTAAATCAGTAAATAACAAATAAGCGTCAACCACATTTTAGGCTCATTATTGGATGTTGGGACTACAATGGAGAACTAGATAAATAGAGCCCCTCCTTCACAGGGCTAGTGATCTAGTTGGAGAGAGAAAATAAACAAGTAAACAGGCAAAAAAACAATTTAAAACAGTGATCACAGATACGCTCATGAAGTGATGAGAATAATAAAGAAAAGGGACTACCTATTTAGATGGAGCAGTTGCCGGTGACATGTAAAGGCCAGAGAAGGATGTGGGAGGCAAAATTCTAAAATTGCTCAAGTTTGTGCCCAGACAGGTCCTGTTTAATCCCTATCCCTTGGTGTTACAGACTTGATATTTGTGACCCTCCAAAATTCACGTTGAAGCCCTAACCACCAATGTGTTGATATTAGGAGCTGAGGGCCTTTAGGAGGTTATTGGGTTTCAGGTCCTCATGATGGAATTAGTGCCCTTACAAGAAGAGACCAGAGCTCACGCACGCCGTCTCCTTCGATCTCTCTCTCTCCCTCTCCCCCTGCCGTGTGAAGACACAGAGAGAAGGTAGCTATCTGCAAGGGGCTTCTCACTAGTAACTGACTTGGCCAACATCTAGAATCCCAGCCTCCAGAACAGTGAGAAATAAATGTTTGTTGTTTAAGCCACCCAGTCTATGGTATTCAGTTACAGCATATTCCAAACAGACTAAGACACAGAAGATACAAGGGGCTACAAAATGCATACAACTTAAAAAGAAAAAATAAACAATTTTTCTTTAAAAAAACAATGTCAAATAACTCTAGATGTTTTGCACTAGTGTAAAATCACTTTAACACTTAAATTTCTGATATATTCAACTGAAAGGGAATCAGTTTTATAATTATATTTGTTTTCATTAAAATGATTTTAATGTGAACAATCCTGGCCTTTTAAGAATTATTTTAATAGACTGTTGCTCTGTGCAAAAAAAATTATAAATGAGTATTTGACAATGAAAAAAGTATTACTAACTTATGAAACAGCTGGAAGATCATCATGTAGCCATTAAAAATCATGATTTTGAAGAATATTTTAAAACATAGGAAAATGTGATATATTAAGTGAAAAGTGTATAAAATTATAGATAGAAAGCATAATTCAAAATTTATAAGAATATATGTATGTATTTCTATACTTATAGAAATGTAACAATTACAGCATAGAAGAAAAACTGAAAGAAATTATAGTAACAGTGATTATCTTTGGTATTGAAATTATAATTTTAATTTTTGTTACACATTTCTCCACAAATTTTATTAAGTGAACAAATACTACCTTGATTAGAAAAAAAAAAGCAAATATTCTTTGCAAAAGTGACCCACTTATTAGCCACTGGTTTGTTTTTTTAAGTATTTTTTTCAAATACATTTGATATATAAAAATTATATTAGTTTCAGGTATACAACACAGTGACTAGACATTTATATAATTTACAAAGAGATCACCCTGATAAGTCTTATTATATTATCGACTATATTCCCTATGCTGTACTTTACATCCCCATGACTATTTTATAACTGCCAATTTGTACTTAATTCCTTCATCCTTCTCACCCAGCTCCCAAACACCCTCCCATCTGGCAACCATCAATTTCTTCTCTGTATCTATAAGTTTGTTTTTTTTTTGTTTGATTATTTTGTTTTTTAGATTGCACATATTAATGCAATCATATGGTATTTGTCTTTCTCTGTCTGACTTATTTCACTTAACATAATACACTCCAGGTCCATTCATGTTGTCACAAATGGCAACAAGATTTCATTCTTTTTTATAGCTGAGTAATAATCCATTATATATATGTACCACATCTTCTTTATCCATTCATATGTCGAAAGGCACTTAGGTTGCTTCCATATCTTGGCTATTGTAAATAATGCTGCAATGAACATTGGGGTAGTTTCTTAATCTTACCCGACCCTTCTCTTTCTTGTGTTCTTGATGAAGAGCTTGAACTCGAGCTGTCCACTTGCTTTCCTATGAAACAGTAAAACAAAAGTAACTTATGTGCAACTGTAACAAAGAAATCTAATCCTTTTTAGTGGGTACCTATGAAACCCAACTATCTATTTAGTAAAATAGTAGGCATTTTTTAGAATATATACAGTCAAAAATGTTTAAACATATTTGTTCTTGGTTTTAATCTTATTCTCTAAGGTGGGATCAGCAAACATTTTCTATTAAGGAGTTAACAGTAACTTTTTTAGACTCTGGGGGCCATGTGATTCAATCACTACCACAGTAGCAGTTGAGCAGCCATAAATAATACCTAATGAATGCATATAGCTGTGTTCCAATAAAATTTTATTTTTCAAAAATATTGGTGCTAGCTTGCTGACCTAAGAAACTAAAAGGAAACACCAAGGTTTCTGAGTCCATGGGTTCTGAATTGACAACACAGCTCACAAGAAGGAAACGGGAGAAATTTAGGTGGGACCTTAGGATTTTATAACTGGGTCCTTCAATTCAGGAGAGACCAGCCTGCTGGGAGCAACTGTCAACAGTTCAGTTCAGGATGGAATTCCTGATCCCAGACTCCTTGCTGGGTAGCCCCTGGCAGGCTAGGAGAGGTCGAAGAGACAGGCCCTGCCTTGTAACGGAGGCAAGCGGACATAGCAATAGAGAGGTCCCACATAATGTGTATGTGATCGGATCCTGCTTTGGGGACTATACAAATGCAATAACTCAGAGGTCCAGGAGAACGCTCCAGAAGAGGCACTGCCCCAGGTGAATGAGTAGGCCACAGGTCCAGGAAACTGTGGGGTGCATGACAAAGAAAGCCACGAGAGCAAATGCAGAAAACGGAATGCCATGTCTGGGAACCATGAGCTATCTGGTGCCACTGGGAGTGTCAAGGTAAAGCCCAAAAAGTGGGGGATGACATGGGGTCCAGATCCGCAGGCACTCTGAATGCTGGTTAACTGGGAACCATGAGCTGTCTGGTGCCACTGGGAGTGTCAAGGTAAAGCCCAGAAAAGTGGGGGATGACACCGGGTCCAGATCCGCAGGCACTCTGAATGCTGGTTAAGGATTCTCAGCTTTGTTCTGGGGAGCCATTGAAGGGTTTTAGACACGACAGTGACATGGTCAGCCTGCCTGTGATGTGGAAGGTAGATGTGTGGGAGCAAGAGGCAAGATGTGAGCAGCAAAGCAAGCAGCAGTGGCGGCAGTCCGTATTTCAAAAAGGTACCTCTTTAAATGACGGATTACTGCCGTGTTTTTAAATCTCGAATTCATAAACTTTAATCTCTATTTGTTTCTTGGTAAAACACTATGTTCCCCTAAATCAGCGTAACCAAAATAGCCAGTGTAGAGTCTGAACTGATTAAGGGGGTTCACTTCCAAATGACTGTAATTAAGTTTGACAAATGTAAAAGATCATCAGTTTACCAAAGTAGTTGTATATATAAGCTCTAAAAAGACAGTGCTTCAATATGCCTTTCTCTGCCTTTTGAAAGTGAGACCTACATCTGAAATATGAAAAATAAATACTGAGTCAATACTTATCAATTTGAATAGATATCATCTTAGGGAAAAAAATGAAACAATTTTGCCAACTGTTCTGTTTCCACATTAGTCAATCAACAAGCAGTGAATGAACACCTATTAGGAATTATACATGTATTAGGAGATAAAAAAAAAATTATCCACCTTCATGGTCATTGAAAGAGATATACACATTTTCCTTAGATGATGCTTGCTGTAAATTACTTCACTAAGAAAAATTAGGCCTCTACCCGTTATCGCCCACTTTTACATACCTGACTATCGAGAAGTTGCATCACATTTTGAAAATCCTGGGGATACTGAGGACGTTCTTCTTTAAACTCATGTTCATCTTTCAACGTGCCTATGTTGGACTTGATCTGCATATTGGACTTCTGGATTTCTAACAATTGCTAAAAAATGAAATGCAAGATCACTGGTATAAATGTTTATACTTCTTGTAAGACTGAAAGAGAGAGTAAGATTGGGGAGCATGTAGCCATATTTCAAACCTGACTATCCTATCAGTTGCTCATGGTGCTCCTCCCATTTCTTTCCAGAGGTTTTCCTATTGTGTTTCTTCCAACAAAAGAACATGCACGGGGTGAAAAAGGGAAAGAAAACCTAACTTTCTAATCTTAGACGATGGGTCTTAAAAATTTTTATGGGCATTTAACAGTTGCCAGAAACAGAGGAACTAGGTACAGCTGGTTCTCAGGATAATTTAGTGACAAGGCCAGCATCACCTGGGACCATATCTATGCTATGCATCCATTCGGGATATAATGTTTTAATATTACCCTTTGCTTGTATGTTAGTCTCAAAGTTACTGGCAGTAAATACCCTCAGAAATGCACAAAAGGTAATAACTGTATGTTAACTTCAAATACAAACTGGTGGGGGAACATAGTTCCCCATTGTTTAAGTCTGGGCTGCACATAGAGACTTCCTTTCAACAAGTACTGTGTGAAATGGAGGGAGGTAACTTTTCAGGGGAGAAATCTGACAAATGCTACCTCAGCCATGTGGTCAAGGTCAACATCAACAGCCATCAATCATGAAGATGGTGTATACCCTTGATATGATGTGATGAAAATTGTACTTTATCTCTGAGGTCTTCTTCCCAAAAACTGGTAAGCCCAGTCTGACCATGAGAAGAATACCAGATCCATTCCAATAGAGGAGTATCCTACAATATACATGACAAGTAGTCCTCAAAATTGTTCAGGTCATCAAAAACAAGTCTGACTCTCACAGAGAAGAGAAGCCTAAGGAGACATGACAACTAAATTTAATGTGGTATCCTAGATAGGATCGTGGAGCAGAAAAAAGGACATTAGGTAAAAGCTAAAGAACTCAGAAGTATGGACTTTAATTAATACTAATGTATCAGTATTGGGTCATTAGTTGTAACAAAGGTACCATACTAATTTAAGATACCAGAAAACTCTGTATAGGGTAAGAGAGAGGGGCTTATATGGAACTTTCCATACTATCTGCTCAATTTTTCTGTAAACCTAAAACTATTCTAAAAAATAAAGTCTAATTTTAATAATAATTTTAAAAACCCTCAAGAGCCAAAAAGGGCAAAAACCCAAATTCCAATAACCGATGAATGCACAAATAAAATATGGTATATCCATACAATAGAATCTCATTCAGCAATAAAAATAATAATGAAATACTGATAAATGCTGCAATAAGGATGAATCCTGAAAACATTATACTAAATGAAAGAACCACTCACAAAAGGTTACATATTGTATGATTCAGTTTATATGACATGTCCAAACTAGGCAGATCCACGGATGCAGAAAGAAGATCCCTGGTTGCCAGGGGCTTGGAGCGGGGGGTGTAGGGGGCGTGCCACTGTGTATAAGGCTTTTTCTTGGGGTGATGAAATGTTCTAAAATGACCATGATGATGGTTGCATAACTGTGAACATACAAAAAACCATTGTACGGTATGTGAACTGTATCTCACAAAGCTATTTTTTTTAAAGGTAGGAGTGGTAAAACCGTGGGGAAAAGTCCTATTCCATAGGTATCCTGGGGACGGGGAGCAGGGGGCAGGACCATGGAGGGAATCTCAGGCCAAAGAACTGTAATTGGCAGCTTATCACATGGAAAAAACTAAATGCGGCTCTAATGGGAAAGACATAAGAAATCAGTCTTAAATCGGTTAGTATCAAAATCCACTACTGTAGGTAATATGGCATCCCACTTTGAGAAGGTGCCACAGACGTAAGTTCAGGAGAGGCCCCTGGAGTATGGGTGGTAAAAGAAACCATGGATAGAGAAATTAGTCTTGCCTAGGGGTTCCGATGCATAGGAAAAACCACCACCACCAAGGACAGATAATGTGGGGATAACCGAACAGCCAGGAAGTTGTCTAAAGGAAGCCCGCAGTAAAGACCATGAGCCACCCCAAGTTATTCCACCCCTCAACTTTTTATTTGTAAATTACAACTTACAGTAAAGTCGAAAGACTAGTACAATAAACGTCCCTTTCACCTTCATCAATTGTTAACCTTGTGCCACATTTATTTTATAAAAATATGACAAGGGCTGTCAAACTTTTTCTGTAGAGCCAGATAGTAAATATTTTTGGTTTTGCGAGACATTTAGGGTCTTGGTCACAACCACTCAACACTACGGCTCCAGCACAAAAGCACTATAGACAAAGTATAAAAGAATGAGCGTAGTTGTGTTCCAAAAAACCTTTACTTGTGGCCACCGAAACGTGAACTTCATTTAATTTTCATGTGTCATGAAATATCCTTCTTTTGACTTTTTTCCAACCATTTAAAAACATAAAAACCTTTCTTAGCTCATGAGCCATACAAAAACAGGGGTATGCCAGATTCAATTCAAAGGTCATAGTCTCCCTACCTTTATGCAAGAGTTCAAGGAGTTTTAGAGAAAGATCTTAGCAGTATTCCAAAAATATACTTCTATTTTAGTTTTTTTAAATGCATTGGCCCCTAGAGGGAGCTCAAGGATCTTCTCTTGCCTCCCATGTTTTCTTTTTCCCTAAGGATGATTTAGGACTGAGCTGCCCAGCGAGCTCAGATAATTCTTAGCTGGAGGACACTGGCCACTGTCTGAGGAAGGAGCTCACAGAGAATGAAGGTCCCAGCCCAGCGAGGTGCGACTCTATCATCTACGCATGCAATGGGGCAGTGTGGAGCAAGGTCGCTCCCAAAAGGGAGGGGGCTCATTTAGCCACATCCTGCCTGCACCAGACTCCCTATTCTCACCAGCCAGGCCTGGCAAAGGTTCTCCCTCTGTCTTTCTGGGTCAGCTTCCTTCTTCTCTCACACTGGTGATCTTTGTCAGCCTTTCTGGAAAATTCCAAAACTCAGGGAGGGTTTCCTAAACCTAATCAGCTAAGGAAAGAGGTACACTCTCCTATGATCTAATAAGTTCTCCACTTGGTAAATTTGGCTTTGGGGCCAAAGCTCCTAGTATCAATGAAATGATTTTTTCTGACCTGTTCTGTCTTCTGTATGCCTCAACCTCCTTCAAGACTCTCAGGGAGGAAGAGTGTCTGGGCCAGGGCACAATAAAGGAACTTCTGGATCTACTGGCCATATGCCAATCTAATGCCACCTTTCAAGGCAACAACTCTACCAATACTGTGAGGACTTCTCAGTTTAATACTTACATATTCCAATGCCGTATTCTTAGAAGTTAATTCTTTAAATTCCTTCATAAACATTTCCTTGACTTTTTCCATTTCGTCAACTAGTTTCTCCTTTTCTTCTTCCTTCCATCTGTCAAATAACTTCAGAAACTCTTCTTCTTTTGTTTTCTGCATTTCATATTCCTGAAATTATTTTAATACATAGCTTTAAAAGTTCTGACATGAAGCAAATATGCAGAATTTTAGATCAATTGGCATAGCATCACATCAAATGTGTCAGTTAGTTTGCATATTTCAATTAAGCTTGTGATAACACTTCATATAATGGCGGGTCGGTGCACAACGATTTTTCCAAACCAAAGGCAGTATGTAGCATCTTTTTGTCCTTACATCCCTTAAAATATAAACACAGAGGCCCAAAGTCTCAAGAGTTCTTTGATCTGTGAACTTGTAGAGTAGACATACAATAATATGTAAAATGTAAACCTACTTTAAAAGAAAAACATATTGAGCAGAATAACCTTTCTTGATACCATATAAATTTGGGTAAAGTAGCCCCATCTCATCCTCCAAAAACACAAATTCATATTGATATAAGATCTAGTTGATCAGCCTTTGATTTCTCAATGACCTTCAGTTTTTTTAAACCTAACTGGAGACTTGAACAACACTATAAACAAACTCAACCTAACAAACATACAGAAAAGACGGTGCACACTACAATAACAGAATATATAATCTTGTTAAATGCACACATGAGATTCACCAGGATAGACCATATATTGGGCCACACAGTGATTCTCAATAAATTTATAAAGACTGCATGCAAAGTGTATTCTGCAACCACAACAGAATAAAGCCAGAAATCAATAACAGAAGGAAAACTGGAAAATAAAAGTCACAAAGATTAAGCAACATACTCTTAAACAACTAAAGAGTCAAAGGAAACACTCACTAAAGAAGTTAGAAAATACTGTGAGATGAAAGAAAATTAAAATATAAGACAACAAAAAAGGGAAGCAGCCAAATCAGTACCCAGATAGAAATTTATAGCTGTAAATGTTTACATTAAAAAAGAAAGATCTCAACAGATAAAGTCATTATATAATGACAAAGGGTCGATTCATTCTGAAGATATAAGAATTGTTACTCCAGACAGAAAGTCAATAAGGAAACACATGATTGAACAACACTACAGGTCAAATCAACCTAACAGACACATACAGAACATCCTATTCAACATCGACAGATACACATTCTTCTCAGCACACATGGAACATTCTCCAGGATAGATCATATGTTAGGTCGCAAAAAAAGTCTCAACTAATTGAAGATTTGAATTACATTAAGCATCTTTTCTGACTACAGTGGTTTGAAATTAGAAATCAATAACAGGAAGAAAATTGGAAAATTCACAAATACATGGAAATTAAATGACATACTCCTGAACAACCAATGGGTCAAAGAAGAAATCAAAGGGAAATAAAAAATATCTTGAGAGAAATGAAAATGGAAACACAACATACCAAAACTTATGGGACATAGCAAAGGAGTTCTAAGACGAAAGTTTATAAATGCCTACATTAAGAAAAAAGTCTCAAGTAAACAACCTAACACTACACTTCAAATAACTAGGAAAAAAAGAACAAACTAAGCCCAAAATTAGCAGAAGGGTGGAAATAATAAAGATTTGAGCAGAAATAAATAAAATAGAGAACAAGAAAACAATAGTAAAGATCAATGAAACTAAGAGCTGGTTTTTTGAGAAGGTAAACAAAATTGACAAACCTTTAGCTAGACTAACCAAGAAAAGAGAAAGGACTCAAATAAATAAAATAATAAATGAAAGAGGAGACATTAAAACTGATACCACACAATTACAAAGGATCATAAAAAGCTGCTATGAACAACTATATGCCAACAAATTGGACGGTCTAGAAGAAATGGGTAAATTCCTAAAACATACAACCTAGCAAGAAAAAATCATGAAGAAACAGAAAATCCGAAGAGACCAATGATGAGTAAGGAGATTGAATCGGACATGAAAAACCTCCCAGCAAAGAAAAGTCCAGGCCCATATGGCTTTCCTTGTGAATTCTATCAAACATTGAAAAGGAATTAAGGCCAATCCTCCCCAACATAACCATTGTTTCAGGATTTGGAATCGTACCTTAGAGAATCGGACCGCATGGGCGTGCTGTGCAGCCTCTAACTGAGACTTGGTAAGCTGCAGCTGCTCCTTCAACATGTCGATCTCATTCTGGAGCTTATCAGTCTGCGCCTTCTTCTTATACTCTGTTGCAACAGAAATATCTCATTAAAATATCATTGCTAATGAAACCTAACTGAAAACTTATGGGGTCGAATCCTATTGATAAGACAAAGACAAAGGAAACTGCTCTTGGGATACTAATACTTTCATGCCCCATGAGCCAATTTTTGCTCCCTAGTGTTTATCTGCAGCTCTTTGTATAATTGGGCACTGAATTATATTCAGCAGATGCTTTCAGCCACTGTGTTGAGGATGGATTATCCCACACAGACTGTGAGAGCCCACTCAGGGAACAATAATGGTGACAAGGCATAATCCTGGGCTCTTCTCCAAGTCTGTCTCAATCAGAGAAGGGAAGCAACAGCTTCCACTGTGGGTACCACCATATTGAAATATCTATGGTCACCATCCTTCTGGCTCCCACTGAACTCTCCTGAGAACCCCATCAGTGCTAAGACAAGCAGAGGTTGGCATTCAAAACACAAACTCGGGCCATAACCTGTCCACAGGGCAAAAACGAGGTACTGAAAAGTTGTAAAAAGAAGCAACAAGTGAAAGGAAGAATACTTATGTACATGTACTTACATGCAGATGTACACATGACTGAATGGATATACATGTGTCTGTGAGTGTAGACATGAAAGGTATGGAAACCAAAGTAGAAAGTCAGAATCTCAAAGATGACCTGAAGAAATAATACTCAGTTCAGAGTCTGAAATACTCTCTGAAACGAGTATGAGATAGAATAAGATACTGAAACAGAAGAGAAAGAAAGTCAGTTTCACATTGAAGAATGGTAGATTAGCTAAAATATTTAATCTTTCCAATTTCTCCAATTTATTGCTAAATTGTATCAGCGGTCCTTGGCTTATAAACGGAATTTTATGCTGTTTATACTGTTTATACAAAGCTTGGCTATTTTCTAAATAAATCTATTTACCTGAAATAGGCAGAAATGGAAATAGACTGGCCCAAAGGGGAGAGGAAAGCAGGTACTGAGTAACAAGCTAGAAGTATACACGTCTAGATACTGAAAACATTTAAAATCATAATGAGAATTTCTGTAGATTACTACAGCAACTTGTAGAATGCTTTGATCTGCTCATGGAGAAATAGACCTTGCATTCTTTGCTTTTTGAGAACATTCAAATGGTAGGAAACCTGTTCCTTGATAAGCCAGAGAACCCCTCTCCTCTCTTGCTTCCTCAATTTCCCCCTCTATACGCCGGTTAATTCACATCGGTACCCAAACTCATCTTACTATCTCCCACACCAAAAAAAACAAACATTTTCCCCTGATCCCACATTTCCCTCCAAGTAACCTCTTATGTCTCTGCTCTCCTTCCCAGCAAACGCTCCTGAAATAAATGTCTGTAATCGACAGGACTACTTCCTTGCCTCATTCTCAGTTCAGCTCATTCCCTTCAGACTTTTGTCCCCACCAATCCACTGAAGCTGCTATGTCAGGTCACCAACATCCATGGGGATATCAACGGTCATTTCTCAGTCTTTATCTTACTCTGCGCCAAAGGAACATTTGATACAACTGACCACTTCCTCTCTCTTGAAACATTCATGTCCCTTGGTTTCCAGGACAACACACTCCACAGGTTTCCCTCTGTAACTGCTATTTCTCACTCTGTTCAGCTGCTCCTCCTGAGCTCCTTGTGTTGAGACGGCCTTGGGTCTGGCTCTCAGCCGTCTTCTCTGTCTAGGTGACCTCATTTAGCCTAGCTCTGCTAACGACTCCCAGGTCTGTAAGTCCAGTCTGGGCCTCTCCGTTGACCGCCAGACCTCCAGCATCTCCACTTGCATGGTGATTTTATGTGTGACTTAAAGTTATCCATGGCCAACACAAACTCTCCATTCTCCTTTCTCCCCTCGACCTGCTTCCCTCCCCTAGGTTCTGCATCTAGGAAAACACCACTGCCTTTCACCCAAATGTATAGGACAAAAACACAGGATCATCTTTGCTTCATCTTTTTCTCATGCTGAGTCATATCTCTATGGGCTCCGTAACTGCAACATACTCTCTTCCATCTTCACTTCTCCTATCTTCTCTAGTACCATCCTGGTCCAGTTGCCATATTTTCTCATCTGGGCTACTCCTGAAGCCCCCTCACTCTTCTACCTGCTTCCATCATTGCCCCTACAGTCTATTCTCCACCAGCAGCTAGATGGGTCAATTTGAGGTACGAATTAGGTCATGTCCCTCCCCTACTTAAAATCCTCTAGTGGCTTCCCGTTAGGCTTATAAAAACACCCATATTCCTGCCCAGGGCATCCGAGGCCCCACGTGACCTGGCTCCTTCCTTTCTGACGTCACCACTGCCTTGCTCACTCTACTCCACCAACCTTCTGTCTGGGACCTCAAACACGCCGTCCTGCCTGCCCCTCACAGCCCTCACCATCAGAGTTCCCCTTGCCTGGAATATTCATTTCTCAGATTTTCTTAGACTGGGATTTCTTCAAAATTCTGGTTTCTGATCATATATCGCCTCCCTAGTGAAGCTTTTGCTAACTACCTGGAGTCATTCTCCATCCACTCTCCTGCTTTATTTTCTTCGTTGCATTTGTCACCATTTTAAGAGAATCATTTGTTCATTTGTTTAAGTGAGTCTCCTCCGGCCCTCCCATTAGAATGCAGGACTTACTCTGTTTTGCTTGCAGCTATATCCCGAGCCTCTAGCATAGTGCATGGCACGTAGCAGGGGCTCTATATTTACTTCATGAGTGAACAAGGACGACCACACTTTCTTTTAAAAGAATTGAGAAATGTACTGGACTGTGTTTTACTGAAAAAAGAAATAGGTACCACAAAAAAAACCAACTCTGTTACTTACCAAAGTGAGAATCTTCAGGGTGGCGGCGCTGAATATGACTCTGCAGAAACGCTTGATTCATAAAGGCCTTGTCACAAAAATGGCACTGAAAAGGAGTGAGTAACAAATCCAAGTGTCCATAATATTTCAAATTAAAATTGGGGTACCTGAAGCACTACCTCTTTGGGGCTTTCCCTCAGAAGATGCTATCCCGGCAAAGGATACTGAAAGCATGACTAAAAAGACAAATATAAAATGAGGCTGTGCTTCCCAAATTGAGCACAAGGGAGTGGAAACTATCTCTTGATATAACATAGCCCATCACAGTGCTTTCTGGAACTCCTGATTCTGCTCTCGTTAAACTGGCAGTGCCCGGACTGTCACCACCAACTTGTTCAGGACACTCCGGCCATGCTAGTCTTGTTTCTGTCCCTCAAGTAGGCTGACTTCAGAGACTTTGTATGAGCTGGTCCCCTGCCTGAATCCTCCCCAGGCCTTTCCATGGCTGACTCCTTCCTGACATTCAATATGTTTATGGAGCATTTTCCTCACTGGGGGTGAATGGCACATCCTCAACATGATCCCCACCCCCAGTCACTGTCCCATCCCAGTCTTATTTTCATTATTGCACATGCAATAATGAAAAAATGACCAGTTAATATTTTTACCTTTATTTACTTCACTTATTTATGGTCTCCTGGCCAGTTCCTTCTATGTTCTAGATTATCAGCTTCCTGAAAGCATGGACTCTACCTTATTCATTATTTTACTCCAGAGCCCAGCATTAATAAATGATTGATTAAAAAGATTTGACCTCCTCATATGCATTTACTGGAAAAAAAATCAATTCCACCAATATCTCTGTTTTCTATTTTAACACTGATTCAACTTTTGAGCAAAAATTCAACTTGTTTCATCTATATCCTTGCCCCTGGATTACACTGAAGTAAATCCTGGATGTTATATATTTCATTTGTCAACATTTCAAAACTTATCTCTAAAAGGACGTTTTTCTAACAATAATAATATCATTATTTCACCTTTTAAAATGTGAATATTAATGATTTAATATCAACAAATATCTAATCATTTGTTATTTTTTCCCCGATATTTCATACATTGTTTTAGAAAAAAATTTTACAGTTTGTTTTGAATCAGGATCCAAATAAGGCCATCTCCTGCATCTAGTTATGTCCCCTAACTCTCTTTAAGTCTATAGGTTGCCTCTCTATCTCTCTTTTTCCCTTGCAATTCTTTTGCTGAAGGAACTGAACATTTGTCTTGCAGAGTGTCTGTCAGTATGGATTTCACCGTTTCCTCTCCATTGTGCTATTTATGTGTTCCATTCATGTACTGCTTTACTCTTAATCAGTACAATTGCATCGGAACTTCAGGTTCCAGTGTCCCAGAAAACTAATGTTATGACATATTTCTTGGCACTGCATCTTATTGAATCTTTAAAGCATCTTTTTAGCCTTCTCTGTTCATGATGACCACTCTGGTTGCCCCACAGCATTTTAGGGAATGCCTACACTGTTAAGTGTAGTCACTAGAGCTAGCACAGAAATAGAGAAAGAAAATGATGAGGACCCGTGGGAACCGTAACTTTCAATTTCTAAAAATGGAAAAAATAATACATTTAACTATTTGAATAATACAGAGGAGTCATGAGCTCAGGGTAGGAAGGGGTTCCTATTCCAAAAAGAAAAGACTGACATTTTGACTACATTGAAATGAAAAATTTCTGTATGACAAAAACACCAAAACAAAGCTAAGAGGCTTCCAGTTTCCAGATCCAGTTTTCTGCACATAAAGTGCTTCAAAATCACCACTCCAACCTAACAATAAGTAAGAAGTGAACACACTGAAAAAGCAGCTCTTTTTGGATCTGTGAGAGAAGGACACAGGGCAAACCACTGTCCCTAAGCTGGGAGAGGCAGGCATAGCTTACCAGAGCACAGACTCCCCAGCAACCCCCACAGGAACCAATGTAGGCAGAGAGGGGGTCTGAGAGTTAAAAACTCCAGGGAAGAGGAGAATTTTCTCAACTTGATAAAGACTATCTACAAAAACCTACAGCTAACGTACTTAATGTTGAGGAACTCAAAGCTTCCCCACTAAGATCAGGTACAATACAAAGATGTCCCCTCATCGCTGCTTTTCAACATCATACTTCAAGTCCTAGCTAATGTAATATGGCAAGAAAAAGATACGAAAGATATATAGACTGAGAAGGAAGACACAGAATTGTCTTTGTTCGCAAAAACACAGGACTATTTACGTAGAAATTCCAAAAGAAGAGACCAAAAACTCGTGGAACTAATAACCAGGTATAGCAAAGTTGCAGAATATACAGTTAATATACTAAAGTCAACTTCTGCCCTATATTGCAGCAATGGTAAGTGGAATTTGCAATTAAAAACACAACACCATTTACATTAGCACCTCCGAAAATGAAATACTTAAGTATAAATCTAACAAAATATGTACAAATATATGAAGAAAGCTTCAATATTCTGATCAACAAAATCAAAGAAAAACTAAATAAAAAAAAGGATATCCATGTTGATGAATAAGACTCAATGTTGTCAACATGTCAGTTCTTCCCAATTTGATCTATAGATTCAATGCAATCTCAATCAAAATCTCAGCAGGTTATTTTGTGAATATTATTGAACTGATTCTAAGGTTTATATGAAGAAGCAAAAGACCCAGAATAGCCAACACAATATTAAAGAAGGACAAAATTGGAGGACTGATGGTACCCCAACTATGAAATTTCTATATACAAAGTTACAGTTATAAAACACTGTGGTATTGGCTAAAGAACAGATAAATAGATCAATGGAACAGAACAGAGGGCCCAGAAATTAGTCCATATAAATACAGTTATCTGATCTTTGACAAAAGAGCAAAAGCAATACAATGGAAAAAATGTGTGTGTGTGTGTGTATAAAGAATCTAGACACATAGGATTTAAAATAAAAGAATCTAGATACAAACTTCACACCCTTCACAAAATCTAAGTCAAAATGGATCATAAACCTAAATGTGAAATGCAAAACTAGAAAACAACATGAGAAAACCTAGATGGCCTTGGGTACGATGATGCCTTTTTAGATACAACACCAAAGACACAATCCATGAAAGAAATAATTGATAGGCAGGACTTTATTAAAATGAAAAACTTTTGCTCTGCATAAGTCAGTATCAAGAGAATGAGAAGACAAGACACAGACAGGGAGAAAATATTTGCAAAACACACAACTAATAAAGGATTGTTATCCAAAATATACAAAGAACAATTAAAACTCAATAAAAAGAAAACAAACAACTCAACTAAAAATGGGCCAAAGATCTTGATAGCCCACCAAAGAAGATATACAAGTGGCAAATAGCATATGAAAAGATGCTCCACATAATATGCCATTAAGGAAATGTAAATTTAAACAAGATAACACTACAAACCTATCAGAATGGCCAAAATACAGAGCACTGACAAATGCTGGCGAGGGTGTGGAGCAACAGAAATTCTCATTCATTGCTGGCAGGGATGCAAAATGACACAGACCCTTTGGAAGACAGTTTGAAAGTTTTTCACAAAACTAAACATATTTTTATTATTCAATGTAGCCATCACTCTCCTTTGTATTTACTCAAATAAATAGAAAACTAAATAACCTGTACATGGATATTTATAGCAGCTTTATTAATAATTGCCAAAGCTGGAAAGCAACCAAGATGTTCTTCCATAGGTGAACGTATGGATCACATTTTATTTATCCATACAGACAATGAAATATTATTCAACACTAAAAAGAAATGAGCTATCAAACCATGAAAAGACATGGAAGAGCCTTAAATGCATGTGACCAAGTGAAAGAAACCAATCCGAAAAGGCTACATCCTGTATGATTCCAACTATACGACATTGTGGAAAAGGCAAAACTACAGAGACAGTAAAAAGATTAGGGGTTGCCAGAGATTGTGGGAGTGGGGTGGGATGAATAGGTAGAGCACAGAGGATTTTTAGGGCAGTGAAAATACTGTCTATAATACCAAAAAGGTGTGTCATTTGGTTCATCAGTTGTAATAAATGTATTATTCTGGTGTAGGATATTGATAATGGGAGAGGCTATGCATGTGTGGGGGCATGGGGTAGATGGGAAAATTGCTATAGAAAAAAAATTTAAGTTCACATAAAAACCTGCATAGTCTATGGCCACGCCACCCTGAACAAGCCTGATTACATCTGATCTCGGAAGCTAAGCAGGGTTGGGCCTGGTTAGTACTTGGATGGGAGACCACCTAGGAAGACCAGGTGCTGTAGGCGTAAAAAAATAAGTAAATAAAAAATAAGGGATTGTAAGCTGACAAGGTGCTTGCAATCTGTGAAGTCAGTCAAGGGTTGCCTCACCTAAAAAAAAAAGAAAAACCTGCACAAGACTGTTCATATCAGCATTATTCATAATAGCCAAATACTATAACCAGGCAAGATACCCGTCAAAGATGAAAGGTTAACAAACTCTGATACGTGTACACCATGAAATACTTGTCAGTTAAAGAAAATGAGGGATTATTGATACATGCCAACAACTTGGTCTGTCAGGCCCCAAAACCAACAGTATCTAGCTGATCTACCACCACTATATTTTATATAGAAGATCTTACAATAATAGAAGCCTAATAGAAGTCAGATCATTCTTTACAACACGGAGTGCCTTGGAAATAATAAGGTTCCCTTCAGGATAAGATGGCAGGAAGGAATTCTATATGACCCGAAATCAAATTCCCCCATTACTAAAATAATTATAAGACTTTAAAATTTTTTAGCCTCTAAAACCCTTTGCATTTTTTAAAAAAATATAGTTATAAATATGACAAATATTTGTGTATATGAATTTGATACACAGATGAATGATATAAACTATTTCAAAGGAATAGCCCTTAAAGCATTTTTAGAAAAGAAAAAAGTGACACAATGAATTTTAAAGTTAGGTACTATTAACCATCTATAGAAAGGAATCTGGTGCTCTTTCCATGGTAACCTTGAGGATAGAATATGTCAAATTATGTTCAGTATACTTGCATTAAAAGTGTAGACTACATATAGATTACATGCTAGGTAAAACATGTAAGTGTCTTATACAATTTCTATCCACAATCATTAAAAAATGAAAAAACATTTAGTGTAATGGAAATAACATGAGAATTTAGGATTTCTTTACAAATATGAAATAGAATGGAGGTTCTCTCTTCCTCCAGATTTTTGAGACCTCTCAAGACAACGCAGGGGAGAATAGTGGATAAAGAAACCAACAATTCCACTGTGCCTACACTGAGGTAGGCCTTGTTACAGTGTTATCTTTATCTTAATTTCCATGGCCTCCACTTTATCTATGAAGAAACTAAAGCTCAGAAAAATTGTCACAACATTCTCAGTTGTATATTTTAATCTATGTCTATCTGACTGCAAAATGCTTGCTTTTTCTATTTCCCAACACTCATCTCCAACTTCAAGAGGCTGAATAATTGGAAGCAGGAACAGAAATTCACTGACAGATTCCCAAATCTGCCTGTGTTGCTAGAACATGAAGAGGAATCTGAGTCTTCTAGCTATGAAAATGAAAGGTCTTCTTAGAATCAGTCTAAATCCTGTTATGATATACTGGCATTTTAAAATTTTTTAATTAAAAAAATAATTTGATAACCAGCTCATTAGTACACACAAGCCTTTCTTTACACGTGGCCATCAGACTTCCCCAGCTATTGGAGATCTCTATTTAAACACAAATTCATGACTGCATACTAAAGTCAAATAACTCTTTAACCAAAATCAATAGTCTTCCCAAAAATTGATTTTAGGGCAAATATTCCCAGTTTACGAACTTGGAGTTTCAATGATTATAACACCGTACAACTCCAGCTAGCTTATGTGCCAACTATTCTTAGCAACAGTCTCTGACTATCCCTTCCTGAATCATTGATTCTTACATTAGCACTGTGACTCCTGGCCTTCTTTTCTCTACCCCCACTATATGATGAGTTTCTAAAAAAAGTCTGAGGATTTGCAAAGAGATCACAGGTAGTCACAGCTCACTTCTGCAGACACTGCAGAAATCAACATCCATATGTCAGATGCTATTTACTGAGCCTTCTTCATGCTTTACATATAGTCTCATGAGATTCTCAGAACAACCATAAAAGGTAGCTACTACCAATGTTCCCATTTTCCTGATAAGGAAACTGAGTCGCATAGTGGAACAGCTAGGATTCAAAAACAGGCAGTTAGCTCTGGAATTTCACCCTAAAGTACTCACACTGCTCAAAGACTCCATAAAGGACAATGTCAGGCCACTTAATATAGGGCAGAGTATACCTGTACTACGTAGGAAAAGGCGATTTGGTCACTCCACCTGTTCCTCGTCATACCTGGGCATACAGCTAACACTGTCATTCAGAGAATTGGAATAGCCTAGAGTTGGCAAGTGTCACTCATTTGATAAATCGATCCATTATCTTTTTATCCTTATATAACATTCACATTCTTGATTTACTAAGAGCTATTTCTATGGTAACCAAAATAATGAAAAAACGTTTATTAATATAAAATTTCCGTAGGCTATAGGTTTTAACTTTCACTAGAGTACTACCAAATCTTGAGTAAGATAAACTTTTTTTATCTCATTATAGGAAATATATTTATAAAGAGCCATTTCAGCATTATTTATAAATATTTGGTTTTTAAATACAAAATGAATAGGCAATTATCGACATCAACTATCATTTGACAATTATACCTCAAGGTGGTGTACCTGAGACTGAACACTAAACCTTTCTAATAGTATTATTTCCCAACTGTTCACCTGTCTTACATATACTTCTCTCAACGCTCCTGTTGGGTCAGTCCTAAGCACTATTAACCCCACCATTTTCTACGCCCTACACCCAATTCTCTGCATTCACAATTACCAAAAGCCACTGAGGCCTTTTAAGCCATATTTAGCCGAACTTCTAGAATGTAAGGGCATGAAATCAACCTTGCCAGTCTGTTGCTTACTTCAATATCTTTATGAAACATTATTGATACCTTTTTCCACATCCTCCACCTAATCAATAAAAAATATACATACACTGATTTTTGTTACACTCATAAGTTACAATATTTCTCTTGGGTTCAGTGTCCAACCCGTAACAGTTGGAGATTAACAAAGAAAAACAAAATTTTTTAATTTTCAAATACTGTTGTTATTTAGTGAATGTTCATATTCTTAGAAAATATACTCATTGAAATTTTAGGAGTCTGCAACTTACTGTCAAATGGTTCAATAATATGTATACACAGACAAAAGAAATGAAACAAATGTGGCAAATGTTAGTAACTGGTGAATTTATTTGAAGAGTATATGGGAGTTCTTTGCACTATTGCAACTTTTCTGTATTTTTGAATAGATTTCAAAATAAAAAATGAGAAAAATCCACAAATGTAATCATTCCTGATTGTTTGGGGGCCGACCTCAGTAGCAATTTGTCCAGGGTTTATTTTTCATTATACCGATTAGCAGGAGGAAACAGCTTCTTAAACAACCAGCATTTACATAACTTCAATAAAGCACTGCAGTTACTTGTTTAATTATTAATCCTATGGTAGTCTACAGAAGGTAATGAACCATGTCATCTGTTGGTTAAAATTACTGTTTTGCTTTAAATATGCCGTTTCTTCTGATTTACAGTACGAATCTTAACCAAAGCAAAAACAACAACAACAAAAACCAATAATATAAAGGACTTTCAATATCCCGGCCAGTGGGAATTGAGGGATTTTTTTGGATTATGAATTGTAATCACAACGCAGTTTCCCACCTGGTAATAGCTGGCTTTGGCTTCAATCATCATCTGCTGGGTGGAAATCATCTTTTTCCTGCGTTTACACTCTTCCTTGAGTAACTTGATCTCTCCAGCCTGCTTGGTGAGGAGATTCTTGCTCTGTTCGCAGTCGGCCAGGCTGAGGCGCAGCCGCTCCTCCAGGTTGTGCAGCTGCGAGGTGAGGAACTCCTGCGAGTGCAGCAGGTACTCGATGGTGAGCTGCGCCAGGCGGATGAGCTTCAGCAGCACCGGGTCCACCCCCGACTGGCAGTGCGGGCACTTCTCGTCCTCCAGCTTGCAGAAGGTGATGTTCACGATGTTCTCCTGCAGCGTGAGCACATCCACGGCCCCCGCCACCTTGTCCACGTCGATGGCACTCAGCCGCCGCCAGTCCACGCTCTCCAACCGCGGCCGGAACTGGAAGAAGGGCAGGTGGCCCGATGCCGCGCTGGGGGGGACACAAGCCATGGCGGCCGCGCCCGCCGCAGCGGCCGCGGGGCCATCAGGACCCTCGAGGCCGCTGCCGAGCGAGTAGTAGACCTGCTTCTGGAAGGGCTGCAGGAAGGAGACAGCGCATGGGGTGGCAGGGCAGCCAAGAGTCCCGTGGACCGCCCCGCCATCCCAAACCGTGCATCTGCAGGCGGGCAACCCCGGCCGCCAGCTTCTTACCATGCTTGGAAGCAAATCCGCCACCTCTGCGGGCAACAGAGGAGGGGGAGGTCTTGTCTACCCGGGCCGCCGCCGCCCCACCCCTCAGGAGAGGGAGAAGGCCGGGTCCCTGGAGGAGGCGGCGGCGGCAGCCACGGCCTAAGGTCTGGCCGTTGCTACGGCAGCGTCCGGAGCGGGAACCAAGAGCAAAGGGCGCGCGGCCCCCGCGTGGTCAGCGTGCGTCCAGGGCCCTGCGCGACAGAAGACCTCTTAGACCAGCCCGAGTGGACACATCGGTCCACCCAGAGAGGGTACCTCCTGAGCTTCAGCTCCCTAAGGCACCACCCTCTATGGCCTTTAGGCTAGGCATTCCGTGTCCCTAAAGCGCGGAAAGCCACATCCCCGGGTCCTAGCTGCAATCCTCTGGCTACTCATTCCCGTCCTCGCCTTAGGTTTTGAGATTACAAACATCTATTCAGCCTCATCTTTTACACACATCTCAGAAAACATTCAGCAACAAAACTATGTAAAATTAAACGGGATGGAGGGAGACTGGCTGACAAAGGTCACAAAGACACTCTGGGGTATAATAAAAATGTTTTATATTTTCATTGTACTGATTACCTGAGCATATACAGTTGACAAAATTAATCTAATTGCACACCTAAAATTAAGGGAGAATTTTGTGTATTTTGCCTCAAGTTGTTTAAAAAATTAAATTTTCAGTGCAATTATATTTGGTGGCAGGCTTTTTAAATTTCTTATATGCAAGATACTTTTTAATTTCTTTTTTGTATTTTTTTATTAGTTTCAAGTATACAGTATATTGACTAGTTTATATAGTTTATAAAACGATCCCCCTTATTGCTCCTTCTCTCCTCTGGTTTTCCACCTAGCCAATATATTAATACTAACTGCATTCCCTATGCCATGCTCCCCATGCAAGATACTTTTTTAAATGGACTTTTCCTCTATGAGTTGGCCATGTAAATATAACATTCTGATAGAAATAGAAACCCAAAAACTTCCTCAAATATTTAGTATCTTGTCTTTCCAAAAGTTACATTTTCAAAACGTGAAGGTAAAAAAAAATTTACATGGATGGGAACTGGAACCATCAGCTTTACCATCAAGTTTCACAGAGCCCTGGTATTTACCTTACAAACTTGTGTGGCAGCTGCATTCTGTTTTCTGGAGAGGCTAAAATATTTCTAGCAGCAATGTGTAGACCTCAGGCCTCTCATTTTTGGGGTCTTCTGGTGAGGGCGGCTGCCTGAGGGCTACCACAGAGACCAGTAAGCTGAGGAAAAGCCAGACATTCCTCAGTCCACCAGGGAGTCCAGGCTTGGACCAATCATCAGGAAAACTTTTGTCTTTCCTAACAGCCAAAGAACAGAAGAAAAGAAAATATAATCCAGAGTAATAACAAGAAGCAAAACTATTATATCAAGTGTTTTAGTACCTTCCAGATATTGTGAACTACAAATAAACCTACATAAAAGCATTCAGGAAACAAGCATTCACTTCAGACGACTTTATACATCCAAATAACACTTAATGGAACTTTTGGGGGAATAGAGCTATTACGGATTCATTGAGGCCAGCATAAGTCTTAACATCTAGGTTCGAAGTCTGAGTCTTCCATTTACTCGCTGCCTGACCTAGAACAAGTTATGTCAGCCGTAGGCCTCATTTTTCCTATCTGTTTAAAGGGCGTCAGGATACCGACCTGGCAGGTCTGTGAACTGTGGACTCCATCCACTGGGCTTCAGGATCAGCGGGAACAAGGGCCGTGGTCTCTCTTGCTCACCATTATATCCCCAGCACCTAGCATAGGACAGGCAGGGAGAGGCGTAAGAATTAGCCGAACGGACACGTGGATAAAGAATGATCGCATGAATTACGCGCTTAAAGGAAATGTCAGCTCCCAGCCCTTATCCCTCGTATTTGTGCCTCTGGCCTGTTCGGGGGATCCACTCTTGGTCTGGGACCAAGCCCTTTTGGAGTTGAACGTGGGGGACTATCCGCGAGCAGCCGCTGCAGTCCGGGGAGGAGGCGCGCGGGGCCCAAGACATCCATCTCCGTCAGCCAACGCCGCCACTCCCGCCCCTAGCGCCGCGCTGCTGGCCACCCTTGCCCCTTGACTGAATCTCTGTCGCAAGATGGCCGGAACAGGAAAGAAGGGGGCACGCTTTCCCGTTGCCTCCGCCACCCATCCCCTGGCAGGGCCCCCAGCCCCGCGCACCGCAGGGCTGGCTCCGGAACCAGCAAAGACAAAGGCCGGGAGACGCGGGCTAAAGTCGGGCCTTGGCGCGGTCCCTTAAGGCAAACGGGATGGGGTCTGCCGCGTCTCTGCTCACAGCCAGGAAAGCGGGAGGAGGGCCGGGCTTCACGGGCACCGAGATGCTCCGTCTGCCATGGGATTCCACAGGCGCCTGGAGCATCTCGGGCCTCGGCTCACCCCAGTTGCGCGCTCCTGGGCGGGAGCCCGGCGCTGCAGGCAGACGGGGGCGTCGCTGGGGACCAGGACCCCAGGCGTGCTGCTAGTGCTTGGCGGGCCCGCAGAGGCCGAGGAGCAGCCGAGCGGGAAGCGGCGGGCCAGCTCCTTCTTCCAGGGTGCAGGATGAAGCCTGTCTGGCTGGGGCAAGTTGTGGCGAGGCGGGCCGCCTGGCGCTGCTCCTGGCCCTCCCAGATTCAGGCCGCGGGCGCCTCGGGATCCCCCACCCCCCTCCCGCCCCCCTCCCCTCGAAGATCTTTCTCGGCCCTCTCTCTCAGCGTCTCAGCTCTTCTGGCAGCTGGGCGGGACCGTGCACGTCTAGACTGCAGCGCAAAAACGCGCTCCACCAATCCGGCTGTTGGTGCAGACACGTGGTGCCGGGGAAAGCTCTGTTGCTAGAGTGGGATGCTCTCCCCAGGAAGGTTTTTCAAAGAGACACAAGATTCACTCCAACCCTTCGGTTGGCCTGGCCCTCAGCTAGCTAATTTCCCATAGGGTTTTATTTGAATTCGCTCCCAAGAAGATACTCGTTTCAATTGCAGAAATCTGCAGATGCAAGGGACCTTGAAAAGGCTATCTATTGCAGCCCTGCATTTGAGTGACGTGGAAAACGGATTAGGCACTTTGAGCCCAAACACACAAGGATTTAAACCTACGTAGGTTTCTGCATCCCTTTCAGTTATGCCCTCTTTAGGACAAGAGGCAAGGATCTCTGTTAGCAGAAAATTCGTCGATGCGGGAGAAGGGAGACGTGAGTCAAGAGTAGTGTGACTGTTTAACCTAAAATTGGAACATGTGGTCTGACCATGGGGCAAAATTCAGTATTTTAAAGTAATGAGCAATCCAGAAAGTGTGCATTTTAACAACCATGAGGTTGACTCAGATTGAGAACTTTGAGTGAATCTTTTGCAAAATTTTAGTGTCTGCTGTAGCAAAAATTGTTCTTCAATTACGGAGGAGTAGCTATAGAATTTTTGCTGGATGACAACAGGTTACTGTAAATGTCTTTCCTTGTACTTCACCCTGACTGAATAAACTTTATTTAGCATGATGCTTCAAACATAGTAATAGCTCACTAAGTATTTACGTTGAATTCCTTGCTTTAGTTTTTACTTGAAAACATAAGGCCTAGGACAGCCTTGGTGGGATTTTTTAATTTGTCTAATTTTAAAATGCTTAAAATTAAAAGAAAATTCAAGATCCCTCTAAAAATCCTGTAAAGTGGTATGCCAAAATTTCTGGGTAGACATTTCAGGAAATATGAGGTACATAGGCCAATGCTCTTTGAGGTGTTTATGCGTGTGTGTGTGTGTGTGTGTGTGTGTGTGTGTAATATGATTGTTCAATTAACATTTTATGATACACCATTTGAGTTACCTGTATTCTCCATTCCCTACTGTCAGTATATTACCCCACATGCAGGGTTGGAAGAAATGAGATGAATCAGTTGACTTTAGCATGGCATAGCAGCAATCATACATTCTTCATCCTTTCAAATTTCTTATGCCAGTTATCACATAGTAGACTATGAGACCCACAGTCTGTAAGATCCTCAAGTGTTCTAGCACATTGAACACATTTAGTAAGTGTTTGAATAAATATTTGACAGCAATGATTATTTTAAAAAGGAAATGGAAATATTGGTGAATAGTGATCATTTGTATGACAAGTAAATAAAAATGTAGCTAAATTTGTTTCAAAGTTTTGTTTCTATTTCTCACTTGAAAATATCAAGTGTGAGAAAATGAAAATTACATTGGGGCAGGCAACTGTGAGTGGTGATTAGCAAGGAATCTATATATTACCAGGTCTCAAAGAAGTAATGCCAAGGTTAGATATCCAAACTGAGACTATGAACCAAAAATAATTAAAGTATTGAATCAGATAAAACATCTCATTTCTGCTTTTCCTTTTTGATCACCTGGCTAATGTCTTTTAGCTATCATTGTAATGTCATATGTAGTATATAGAAGAGTCTCTAAAATGTATATGTGCAGTTTTAAAAATAACAGAATGAACACTTGTATACACACCACCTAGGTTAAGAAATAAGACATTCCCGGCATTTTGGAAATGCCCCTCTGTGCACCTTCCCAATCACATCCCTCTCCATCCTCCTGTTTAGCAGTTTCCTAATTTTTGAATTACATCATTACCTTTTCTTTATAGTTTACATTATTATGTATAATCTATCTATATATACACATACATATATATTATACATTATATATACATACATATTATACATATATACATTTTATTATTTACTTTTGAAAAGTGAGTAGCAAGCATGAACTGTGTAAAGATGAGTCAGATGAGTATCTAGGTCTGTACTGCCTTTACGCATAGACAAGAGAGTTCCGCGCTGGCCTGGCCCTTTAGAAAATCCAAGGAGCTAATGGACCAGGTCTTTCTATAGCCTGTGCTCTCCTGTTCTAGACTCTTATGGTTAGGTACACAGGGTGGCCATGGGCAGCAGTACTATTTAGAAGTATTCAATAGTGCAGACATATGGTTGGGAGATATAAATCCATGCATACAAGTCCCCTCGCTGGTCAAGATGGTACCAGGGCGGGAAGAGAAGAGTCACTGCCTGGGAGCTTGGCTGAGAGTTCTGAAATCCTAAATTCAGACCTGCTTTTGCAGCCTCAGCTTCCTTTGGATAACTTAAAATGTGATGCTGCTGGCTAGCAGTTGTAAATGTAGATTGCAGACTCTAGGGCAACCATTAAAAAAAAAAATCAAAAAGAATTAATGTGCTAAAAGGAAAGATAAAATGCTCAGTTAAAACCAGAGAAGGCAGAAAAATGGAGAAAAGAAACAAAAAAGTACAATGAATAGGAAACAGCTATAAACATGGAAATATTAACCCAATTATATCAATTATCATTTTAAATGTGTATGGTTTAAACAAACCAATTAAAAGACAGAGATTGTCGGAGTGGCTAAAAAAAAAAAAAAAAAAGACAAGACCCAGCAATGTGTTATCAATAAGAAACTCACTTTAAATGTAAGACTAAGGTGAAAAGTGAAGGGATAGAAAAAGATACACCACGCTAAGAGGAATCAAAAGAAATCTGGAGTAGGCATATTAATTTCAGACAAAGCAGACTTAAGAACAAGAGAAATGATCAGAGATTAAGAGGAGTACCACATAATGATAAAGGGGTCAATATTCCAAGAAGACATAATATAAGAAGAGAGTGTCACAATACATGAGGCAGAAACAGAACTACAAGGAAAAATAGACAAATCCACTATTACGGTTGGAGACTTTAATATTTTTAACAGTTGATAGACCAGTAAAGACAGAGATGACCCAAAGAGCACTGTCAACCAGTCTGATCTCACAGAATACTCCATTCAACAAGAGCAGAATATACATTCTTCTCAAACGGACATGGAATATTCACGAAGACAGCCCACATTCTGGGACATCAAACACAACTTAACAAAGGTAAAAGAATAGATATACAGAATATATTCTCAGACCATGATGGAATTAAACTAGAAATCAATAACAGATAGCTAGAAAATCCCAAAATATCTTGAGATTAAATAACACATTTCTATTTAATACGTAGGTCAAAGAAGAAATCTCAAGAGAACTTTTAAAATATTTTGAACTAAATGAAAATACAACTTACCAAAATTTGTGAAATGCAATGAATATAGGGCTTAGAGGGAAATTTGCTTAGTAGAAGGGAGTCACTAAGTCACCAAGTGGAGGGCAATTAGGTTTTCCTTTTAAAGGAAAGAAGTGTTAAAGGCTTTGAGGCCATATTTTGAAACTATCAGAGCAACTAATGTAATACCTCCCTTTTCTTTGTTCCCTGGTGGCCTAAGTATCAAAAATGACCTGGTGGCATTCTCAACTTAAAATTCAGTTGAACCATTAATGTGTTGCCTTGAACTGACTCAGGGCAGGGAGGTAGGGTTAAAAAGGAAAAAACAACAAACAAGCAAACCCCCAACCTAACTCTCAAGGAAAGTGGCTCAGTCCTGGCGTTTGCAGTAGGTTGGGAAGGATCACATAAATCAGTAAGAACTTGTGGTTTGATGAGATGTCCACACTTTGGAGCCCCTTGATTAATTTGTTACAACCAAATATTCATGAAGGTCAGATTCTTTTTATTGGAATCTGATTACCATGGCCTTGGTATTGTCTGCTAGGATAACTAAGGTCGGTTTACCTCCAGCCTCTACAAGGTCACAGACATCTTGAGCTCCTCTCATCCCCTTGTGATCTGGGAGCCCATTTCAATGGCAGCTCTTGCACTCAGTTTTCTGATTCTAGACAGCACTTTTTGTAAAGAGCTGTCACTTCCTTCAGGAGGTGGATACAAAATGTGATTTTTATGCCTTCGTGCCTTCTTCCTTTAATGTGTCCTCCTGCTCTGTAGAGTCCAGAAAGCTAAAAACTATGCTCGCCAAACTCCTTTCCAGCTCATATTCTGGAAGCAAATTGGTTTCTGCCAATTAGATACACTCCTGAATGATTTGAAAGGCAGAAGTGAGACAGAAGCTATTTTCCTGCTGTTGTTTTTGCTGGCAAGCAAGGTTATGCAGATCAGTGTCAAAGGGTAAAGGCAGCAACTGAACTCGTGTCTAGTCCCAACTTGCAACGTGTGGAGTGGCTGTTGAGACAGTCATGGCTACACTGGCTTTTTTTTCAGAGGATCAAAGTCCTGAACTTAACAGTTCCAATTCTGCCCCTCCTCACCCAACCCTTCTCTAGCCTTTTCAATGATTGTGCAAGCATCTAATTGGGTACAATGATCTTAACTGCTTAAACTACCTAGAGTGGCTTTCACATCCTACACTAAAGCCACACTGATACCCCATATCAGTTTATGTTTTTTATGAAATAAAAGTTTATATTAAGGATCTAAGGAAGTCCCTGGAATAGATGAACATAATCTATTCAATCCTTTATTCTCTTTTCCTGAAGTCTTTGAATTCCTTCCTTTAAACTTGTTAAGGAATTTCTGACTTTGGAGATGTAATTTGTTGTTCAGCGCACATTTACATTGAACAGCCTTTCCCCAACTTGTTACACACTGAATACACAATCACTGGGAAGTGCCCATATGTATACATTTGGCCTGATCCAAAATAGGGACCACGCTTCTTTACCTAGCAACCTCAAAATCTATTTCCACATCCTTCCAATTTGGGAGGTGATATAAATCAGCAAATTCCTACAACTTTCTTTAGATTTCTAACTCTTCTGTACCAATATCCAGGATTGCCTCATTC